ATTTCATTCCATTTTATACATGTAATTAAGTGGGCCACATAATGAAGTACTGTGTGTGCGGAGGCAGATGCCTTCTGTAGGTGAAAGATGCCCAGAGAGGGAAAAGACCGTCATTTTAAAGGGAGAATAATCAAGCAAGGGTGGCTGAAAATTATTACATTTTATCCTCCAAACAGTTTAAATTTGATGGATTTACCCCCGGACCCCCAACACTAATTTTCTGGTTGTAAGCAAGACAAATACATTTAGTATCCTCCTGCCAAAATACCCTCCCACCCTGTCTACTAAAGGTAATGGACAGAAAAAGTTCTGAGCTTTGAATCAGACAGAGCTGGGTTCAAATTCCAGATTGCCACTTACTAGAAGAAGGACCTCGGTTAAGCTGCTGAGCCTGTGCTGCTCAAAACATAGCCCCAAACCAGCCAGTAGTAGCATTGGGAACTGGTTGGAAATTCTAGGCCAAGGTGCCACCCAGATAAACTGGCTCATCTCTGAGGATGGGCCCAGGAATCTGCAATCCTACTTACCCTCCAGGTGACACTGAGTGAGGACGACTATCTCAGATGATCCCAGTCCCAATTTCCTTCCCGGTAAGCAAAGCTTTTAAGGTAGAAAATACTAAGCAGCAAAAGCAGGAGGATGGAATGCTTGGCACAACCAGATCCAGAGGTAGAACTACGTCCTAGTGAGGCTGGATCCAGCACCTCAAGTCCTTTTACCCAGGATCCCCAACATCCTGGCGTAAGGGGGCTCCTTAGGGAAGTTGGGTGGAGGCTTAGAATAACGAGGCTTCGCATACCTGAGGTTTAGAACAGAGCGCCCTCTGCGTCTCTATGAGCAGCAAACTCCGAGGAGGCCAGGCGTGTGCGGAGGCCCTGTGTTAGGCCGGTCTGTGCGCTGCAGACATCATCCTGCTACCAGCTCCTGCCCCGTGCTTCGCTTCTTCACTTCTGAACATGCTATTCTGTTTTTCAAAAAACGTCCTTTTCTGCCAAGGGGCATTGGGGAACTTCTGTTTGTCATTCAAACGACTTGGGCAGGGTCTATTTCCAGACTTTCTGCTGCTCCTTGGCCAGGGATGATCTCACTTCATTTGTGCTCCCAAGCAAGGCCTCCTTCCAGCACTCTTCCCTCTGCACTGGGACAGGTGTAGGAGATCGGCCTCCCACGCTAAGCAGGGAGTAAGTCCAGCGCACAGCCCTCGGCTCCTCGTGCGAACACCTCTAGTGCCGGTACAAGACCTGGCTCGCTCAGGCTCTGGAGCGGAAGTGGCCGTTCTTGGAAATGTGGGTCTCCCAGAAGGGTGATCCCAGCTAACACTGCGCAGGACACAGACTGTCACCACACCCTGCCTTGCAGCCGCCCTGGAGCTCGTGAAAACCACTGAGTCCACATCCGCTTTAAGAGCCCTGTGGTCACCACGACTGGAGCAGTGTAGCCCCATGGACTTTCTGCACGGAGAATAAGGCCTGCATCGATCCACACGGGGCCTAGCCACACGTGACCGCTGGGCACGGGAAATGTGCCCATGAGGCCGAGGAACTGATGCTTATTTTACTGAATTTAAATTTAAATAGGCACAGGCTGCTGGTGGCCACTGTACTGTAGCACACATACAAGCATGTTTGGGGCCATCAGACAACCCTTGCCACAGGCTTCACGTTAGGCTCCATGCTGCCTGTCCTTGGGGCCACCTTCACATTCCTGGGGCTGCCTGGACCTCAAGTCTCAAGAGAGACCAGGAAGAGACCAACAGCTGGAGGAAACCAGGTTTGAATTCTGCCAGGAGATGTTCGCATCCCTAATCTGTCCTTGAGAATCTCTTGCTCCTTTTCTCCCTCCCAGGCACACCCTTTCTTCCAGGTCCTGTGGGAACTTGGGGACTCACAGAGGCTCCTATCCAAGCAGTGCCTGTGAGGGTGGTCAGTGACTTCTGGGGGTGACAGCAGGCTCCTGTGGGTGGGTGGACAGGAAGTTATCTGGTCTGAGCCCCTGGCTAGCACTCTGGGACAGATGGGTATCGGAGCTGCTGGGAAAAAGCTTTTTCCATCAAGGCCTCCCAGCCATCTGTGCCCATATAAGCCCATGTCTGGATACCCCATCCTCCACAGGTCGGTCCCGGCCTCTCTGGCCAGGGTCCCCTTTGAAAACCAAGAGACTGAGCCAAGCAGAAAGATGATGGGGGAGAAAGCGGAACTCATGGGGGCTGGCTGGGGGAGGGGCTGGGCTAGAGGTCAGAGAGCTGGGAGGCGGACAGCAGCACACTGACAGACAGACAAAGTTATAGTGGGAGCTCCAAGTGAGTGAGGAGGGCAAAGCTCAATTCCAAGAGGCCAGTGACTGTGATAATAGCTTTTGAGGGAAATAAGAGAAAATCAGGATCACAATAAATGCATGTATTGTACGAATAAGCACATACTATTTGAAATCTGAAAACATGAAGTGTGTCTCTCAGAATGAATGTTCTATCAGTTCTGTGTCCTGTGACTACCCCAGACGTTATAGGTCCAGCTTAGATGAGGTTAGTGGAACAGGGTTCTGTCTGGCTCCGCAGGAGGAGGACCCTGCTGCATTAGAATTGCCTGCCGGGTTACAAAACAGGAAAGATGCAACATGGGCATTACTGATTTGCCATCTCTGTCTGGGGAAAGCTTTGCCTATAGTAGACCTTCAAGACTCGGTGTGGGCAGAGTGTCTTGGTTTTAATCATCTTTATTGGAAGGAAGGAGGAGAACCACCACTTACAAACACAATTGCCATCTTAGGAGGGGGGATCCAAGTTCTTGAAAAATCTCTTTGAGCCTAAAGTAAGTAGAAGGAGGAAATAATAAAGATAAATAATAAAGAAAATCGATAAAATAGAAAACAGACAAGCAATAGAGAAAGATCAATGAGGCCATAAACCGGTTCCTTGAAAAGATCAATAGAATTGATAAACCTCTAATGAGACTGAACAAGAGAAAAGGAGAGAATAGGAAAGTTATAAATGAAAAATGAAAAAGAGCAAGTATATTATAGAAATATTATGGAAAGTCTCTTACACTTTTGGTGAATAAATTTGAAATCTTAGATGAAGAACATGCATTTTTAAAAAATTATCAAACTGACTCAAAATTTATGGTGGGGAACATGAATAGTTTCATATCTTTAAAATAAATTGACTTTGTAACTAAAAACCTTTACCCAAAGCTAAGTCCATCATCTAGGGTATTGTTGGTAAACTCTTCAATATTACAGGGAAAAACCCCACAAAACTTACCCAGCTTGTGTGAAGAGTTTGGCATTACCCTGATATAAGGTGAAATCAGTTGTTTCAGAGCTGTGTGGCCTTAGGTTAACTGGATGCCATCTCAAAAAAGGAAAGAAAAAGTACAGACCACTATTCTTCATGGGTACAAACACAAGAATCCTTAATATTATGTAAACAAATCAAATCTGAAAACATATAAACAGAGTTTATTCCAGGTCAAGGTTAGTTTAATAGTTTACTAGCGATGAATATAACTCACACACTAGAACTAGAGAGGAAAGTCGTGTGAGTATCTCAATAGACGTAGAAAAAGGATTCAACCCCATACTTGATACCATTGCTTAGTGAACTAGAAGTAGATGTGAACTTCTGCAGTTGATGAAGGACATCTAGGCAAAGCCTGTAGTTAACATCAGATCTTGCAGTACACTGTGGAGCTCAGTTGGTGAGGGAGGAACGTTCTGAGGCCACGAGAGCTGAACTGACACCGCATGACAGGACGGAGCCATCCCGGGACACAGCTGAGGGACAAGGTCCATTCTACCGTCTGGCCGAGCGGATGTTTGCCCAAGGTCCTTCCAGGTCATGGGTGATGTGTGGATGGGACCCAGCACTCCTGGTGCCTGTCAGTTCCAAGGCACGATGGTCTGGCGTGGTTGCAGGAAGTGGCTGTGCCTCCTGCATTATTGTCAATCTGGGTGAGAGCTAAGAGTTCCTGGAGAGAACAGAGAAACTTCCATTTTGATACACTGTGTAATATCATCCTTTCTGTGATTTACTTGTCAGGATGGTTTGTTACATCTATTTTCCAGCTCAGGGAAGGAGCGGACGGGACTTGTCCAAGGTCACATAGCTCGTAAGTCAACTCATATCCAAGTTTGTCTATCTCTGAAGTCACTGCTGTCAGCCAGCTGCTACGAGGCTCTTGGTGATTAGAAATGATCAGTTCCTTCCTTTGCAGTGTGTTGGCTGATTGATCACTTGTATCTTGCAGACGTGGAGAAAAGGGAAGATGTGATTAGTAATGTTACAGTGACAGCACAATGCGGTGGCCTCTGGTCTCCCCGGAGGCTGGACCTTCTCTTCCCATCAACATTCCCCACAGCTCCCAGCCTCAATATGTGCATATTTGAAATGAGAAAATAGCTCTGGCCAACTCGCTTGATGTGCTACGGTGATACACATTTTTAAAAATGGAGAGCCTATAAAAATGAGATGCTTCCCATTGGCTGTGAACTGCAAATCCTGCCACCTGAAGCAAACTATCCGCCCGGAAGTGAGGTGCGCCATTGGCTAGGGCCCTGGCACCTTGGGTTTCTGTGTCCTGCCCAGCGCATACCAGGTGCTGTTTCTGCCCTGTTAGTTTCCTAGCTCTCTGGGTCTCAGCTTTCTTATCTGTAAAATGTGAGTGATTATGTTATTGTCCAGGGCCAGCCGTTGAACCTGAAAAGGTTGCTAGCCATGTTTTAATGGTGTGTGCTTTACCTATTTGCTCTTTGTTCAGTTCGTGGCCAAGGATGGGGTGGTTAAAGGTTTGCCCAAAACAAGGAGACTCTTTGGGGGCCTGAATCAGGATTGCACGGTTATTCTAGCCATGTTTCAGATCTGGGCCCTGGACAGCAGCCTGGGTGACCCTCTCTGGGGCTTGCTGGTCGAAGTGGTCGGGTAATGAAATGCGTGGAACACAGTGCAATGCTGGGCGCACAATACGTGCCCAGCAGAACACTGTAGGGGAGCCCAGAGCTGGCAGATGCATAGGCCGCTGCCCCGCTCCTGCTCTCGGGTCGCAGGTCTGGCAGGCCTTGCCCCCACCTCGAGAAGAGCCCTGCTTTTCCAAACGGGAGACACCGAGCCCCTGGCTGACAGCGATCCTGCTTCCCGCCCAAAGGTGGCTGGTTTGGCTGCCGAGTTCCCCGAAAATTGGTTCCGCGTGTTGCCGACATCAGGCCCGAACGTTTGCTCAGCACACAGCCGTGAGGGCCCTCCGGGGAGGCTGAAATCCCACACCGCCCGCCATCCGCCCCCAGCCGCAGCCTGCCAAGCCGCTGTCCGCAGCCAGCTCCCGGCCAAGCGCCGGCAGCGCGGGGCGCGAGCGCAGGGCCTGATCCCCGCGACCCCGCCCGGGCCGCCCGGCCCCCCAGGCGGGGGCCCTCTCGCCACCTGGCGGCTGCCTGCGGAACTGCACCGCCATGGCAGCCTTGTGGCCCGGGACCCGGAGGGCTCGATCCATCCCAGAGGCTCCGCCCATTCCAGGAACTCCCAGGGTAAGGAAATGTGGTTCGAAGGCTGAGCTATTTTTAAACCGCAGCGCTCGCCATGCAGATGTTCTGCTGATGGCTGACGTTCCCAGCCCGGGAGAGGAGCTGTGCTTTTAACCAGAGGCAGATGCCTGGGGGGCGTAGTTCGCAGGGGGCAGGGCCAGTCTATGCCAGGTGGGAGCCCTGGCAGCAGAGCCCACTGGCCACTCTGAGGCTGAGGTTTTCCCTGGGCGAGGAGTCTGGCCTTGGCTGGTTTCTGAGGAGCTATGGTGCCCAGGCCCCTCTGGTGGGACTAGAGGAGCCTTAGAGGGCGGAGGGGAGGCCAGTGGTACGCAGTAGTCATTCAACGATTATCATTCTGATAGTCAGCAACCTTTGCCCAGAGAGGTGCTGTTTTGACTACAAAGGGTAAGCACAATTTTCCTGATTTTCTTTATGAGGAAATGAAATCCAGACCATCACAATCCTTATCCAAGGTTACCTAGATAGAAAAGACTTCAGAGTTTTCAGATTGCCCAATAGATCTGAACTCTGAGCAGATACCCAAGTTTCCATAGCCTCCAGGCACTATAAGGGCCATTCAGGAGGTGCTATTTCCTCCCCTGCAAGCTGAAGTCTTTCTAGCCTGGTCTTTGTCCTCCTCCTCTTCCTTTTCCTCCCCCTGTTCCTCCTTGTCCTCTCCCTCTATGTATCTGCTTTTCTCTAGCCAGTTCTCCTCGGACAGCCTGGAGTTGGGCCAGCCCTGTGCCACATCCATGGGTTTTTTCTCCGGGTACTTTTCACATTTGCCACCATCTCAGTGGACTCTGATCCCCAATCTGCTGACCTCTGAACTACTGTCCTCTCCTGCATCCCACTCTCTCTGTTACTTGAGCCACTTGAAGCCGAGCAGAACTGTGGTATATAAGGTGGATTCAAAGCAAGAAAAAACTGGATTTCCAAGGACTCTGAGGTCTCCTTTAGGGAATGGCTGTCTCCAAATAAGGCAAGGCCATCTGGGACTCCTGCCAATCAGGCCTGTGAGGTCAGGGAAGGCTCAGTGGTGGTGATGGCAGAGGTGGCCAGAGGAGGACCAGATTGAGTTTTGAGAAAGGAGTCCCACTTGACAGGGCTCAGGGGATTACACAGCTGGGCCAGGAACACAGCAGGAGGACCACCATGAAAGGTCATGAAAGATTCATGTCTCCTATGGGCTTCTAAGTCATCCTGGACTGGAAGCAGGCAGCACCCAGGGGGCTCAGCCTTTACCTGCCCTGGAAGCTGGGCAGCAAATAAGGTCATTTGGAATGACAACAGATGGGAGGTTTCTTACCCTACTGTCTTGACAACTGATGGCTGCCTTGGATTCCTGGCTGGCCCTTTGGTTCCCTGAGGAACCAAGTTCTGACTTAAATCCCTTTAGCTGGCTTAGTCCCTTAGAGTCAAGCTCTGGCCGCCCCCAACCCCACTGTCTCTCCAGTTGTACCTGAGCCTGGCCTGGATGCCCACACACTGCCCGCCACCCGAGTGTCAAGAGCGCCTGACACCTATACCTTAGCCAAACTGGGTCACAGCCAGAGCCCTAGTTAGCCCCCATCTCCCTACCCACATGGACTTCTTTCCTCTTCCTCTAGTTCTGGGTCTTAGTGTCTCAGCTTGCTTTGTGCCCAAGAATGGCTTTGAGAGGCCTTGAACACTGAGCCACAGTCCTTCTGCGCTCCTGCATGGTGCCACGGGGGGCAGGAGGCAGGGAGGCAGATGGTGGCCAGAGCAACAACTTGGAGCTGGAAGAGAGAAGGGGCAGCAGGCATGTTTTGAGTGACAGAGCGTAAAGTCAAGCATAAGAGATGGGCGAGCCTAAGGGAACATCACACTCATGCCTTTCGCTGCACAGGTGATGATGCTCTTGACTGGAGAGGAGAGAACAGTTGGCTACTGTTGCATTATTGCATAGCACAGTTTGGGTTCAGGTTTGTCAAGAGTTCTCTTGGGCTCCTCATTTCTCCCTAAGAGTTAAGCATGGCTGGGATGCAAAGCTATAATCTCAGATCCAGGCTGAGTTTCTGTCCCACCACGTCCATTCATTAGCAGTGTCACAGTAGATGGGTCACTTAGCCTCCCAAGCATTTTTGCCTCCAAATAAAGTCAGTGCCTCCTTCCCACAGGACAGTTAGGTGCACTGAATGACATAGCAGCCATTAAAGTGCCCAGGAAAGTGGCTTGAAGGACCTTCCCAGCACTTCTTTGAGGCATTTCTAGCTTCCTGAAGATCCAGGGATCATTAGAAAGAGGCCATAGCCAGTGGGATGGGTCAGTGAGACAGGAGCCCTGCCCCAGGCATGAGGCAGCCAAATGTCCCACCGTCCTGGTCCTGGGTGTCACCTCGCTAGTCTGTGGGCCTAGCGCGGCTATGCAATGGGCAGCACGGGCTCCAGGCCCTGGATACTGCTTTCTACCAGGTCCCGCGGCCAGCAGAACCCCCAGCTCTGCCAGGAAAAGCTCAGAGTTCTGTGAACTGCTCAGGCCTGGACTCCTTGCATGCCTGGGACTGAGGAGGCAAATATTTGGGCAGCCAGCAGCAGTGTTTGGAGCTTTCTGTCCTCTGTGGCAGAGCGGCTGGTGCCAGGGGTGCCCAGCTGGGAGAGATGCGCTCGAGCCCAGCGTAGGTGGTGGGTGGTCACCCACTCAGCATCTCCTAGGCGTCACCAGCAGAAGCTCCTGGCTGAGGCCCCAAAATGCCACTTGGGGCCCCACACAATCCATCCCATTGTGATCCCCACAGCTGGCGTCTCTAGGGCCTGTCCGAAAAAATGGGTCGTGCAAGGTCTGAACTCATACTTGTGTGTCTGCCACTGGTGCAAGAGGAGCAGCAGCCGGGGCTGCAGAGGCCCATTTAAAAATAAAAAATAAAAAAGAATAAGAAGGGAAAAAAGGAGGGAAAAAAAAGGCCCCCAAAACATTTCATTTGCTTTTTTACTTTTTTGTTAACAGACCACTTGGCGGCCCGTGCCAGCTGGGAGCTGGGGCCCAGCAACAGCAGCGCAGAGTTATGGGGCAGCGCTAAGTGCTCTGTTTGTATGAAACTGCCAAAATGTTAGTACAAAGTGCTAGGTGTTTGTGCTGCAGATAATAACTGATGGGCTCCCGGGCAGGAGGCGACGCCGCGCGATTACTGCCGGCCCTTCTGAGAGCGAGCCCGCACTGCTGGAGAGCCTTGGCTGTATTTTTCTGAACACACGGGGCCGGCTGGCAGTTAACGGGCGGCCTGTGCCTATGAATCAGCCCAGGAGGCCGGAGGCCAGGCCAGGGTGTTTATCTGATTCTTGGGGTTTATCCTTCTGGGGCCAGAAGAGCCTTTTCCGCAGCACGATCCAGAGGCCACTGTACTTGGGTGCAGCAGAAGCCAGGCCTGCGTGCCAGGGGACAGGACAGGTCAGCTTTGGGGAGCCCCAGGACACAGCATCTAGGGTGCCCTGGTGGCCTGAAAGTAGTTGGGGTGGGGGTGGGGTTGCTCAGCGGATGGCTTAGGAGCTGCAAAAAGAAGGCTTCAGGCCTGGGGTTCTCCCAGATGGGACCAGGAGGTGGGTGCTGCTGTCTCCCTGGAGCTGTGGTCCCCCAGCTGCTGTGTCACCTGTCAGTGTTCAGAGGGGAGGAGGGGTGGCCACAGCGCTGTGAAGGTTTGGAGACACAGATCAGTCTCTCTCCTCCCCCCAGAGCCTGTGTGTGCGGTGTATGTGTGTGCTTGTGTGTGTGCACAATGCACATGATGCTTTCTTTAGCTTGTCCCTCGAGACGGGGACAAATTAAGGTATTTGTGTAATCTGCCAGACATTGATTGATTGATTCATTTGTTTTCATTAAATCTACGGGGTACCCTTTGTATCTCCTGCTAGACATTGATTGGCAGATAGATCCCTCCATGGAAGTGAGGCCGGGTGCCCATGCTTGGCTATGTTATTAGCCGGACACGAGTGATACAGTGGTGAACAAAACCAACCCAACCCAAACCAAAATCCCCGTTGTCAGTAAGCCTTCATTCTAGCGCACAGAGACACACAAAGTACAAATGCATGCACCGTGGGAGTCAGAGGCTGGATCAGAGCAGATCATCCCAGACCCCTGGGAGGAGTGGGGCTTTCAACAAGATGGGCGGGGCTTTCAGTGTGATGGACAGGGTTTTTAGTGGAATGGGCGGGGCTTTCAGCACAGATGCAAGAGCCAGAAGGAAGTCTCCCCTGTCCAGAGCATGCTGTTGGTTGGGGCGGGAAAAGACTGGGTCCTTTGCATGTCACCTTAATAACACAGGGTATGGTCAAGTTGGGTGGCCTTTATCAGGGTCTTTAGATGGAGGAGGGAACAGGGCCCAGGACGCTGGTGGGAGTAGCAGGTGACAGGCACCTGGGTCCACTGATTCAAAGCCCCTAGTCCTGTACTCTGCTGCGATAGCTTCTAGCCTGGTGGTTAAACTCTCTAGTTTTGGAGTCAGTCAGACTTGGCTTTGAATCCTGCCACCTGCTTCTTATTGGCCATGTGATTTGCAGCAAGTTATTTCTCGTCTCTTAGTATCAGCCTCTTTATTCCCCATAGGGTTTTTGTGAACAATAAGTACATTTTTCTCTATAAAATATACATAAAGCCTTTATCCTGATGCCTGGCACAAAGGGAGCTCTATAAATGGCTAAACTGATGCTGGAGTTCTGATTTCCTCTTATGCGTGAGGGCCATGGTACAGTGGCGTGAGATCACACAGCTTCCCTACCTGGCACCCAGGCTGCACGTGGCCCTTGTCACTGAGCAGTTGGTTTTTTCGTGAGGGTGCTGTAGTCTTTGTGAGGAACACGTAGGCTCCTGGCTACAGTCATCTGGACACACATCTTGCCAGCCCTGGGGTCCTCAAACCTGAACCCACCAGTGACCATGAGAACACAGTATGTCCACTGAGGCCGAGCCGGCCCTTGAGCCCTGCCTCTGAGACTTGAGTCCTGTTCCAGTCACAGCTATGTGTAGGTGGGGAAGGGTGTGGTGGC